TGTGGAATTTGATTGGTTAATTATCACGGGTAATTAACCATTTTCTTTATATAAACCGCGGGTCACCCGGGTGACCCACCCGCGGGTGACCCGTTTGTAAAATTTCTTGTATCACCCGCACCCGCGGGTGACCCGGGTTTGGATTTTTGAGACGGGTCGGAACACTACTCTAACCAACCCTAACTCCAACTCTAACCCTAACATTAATAAACTTCAAAAAAAATTGTCTGCGCCACATGATCGACATACCTGGCACAGAATCCATACGTGTTTCAAGCTGTCTCCACCTTTTTCAACCAACCTTTTACCACTTGCATGCGCACAGCTTTCGTAATTTAGCATTTTCAAGGAATGAAGGCAAAAGTGAAAAAAAAAGATGCACGTCCATCCTTCCACTGTCAAATTCCTACTTCATTACCACAATCACACTCCTTTCACCACTGGTAAAATTGAACTATCTTCCAATTTTTAACTGTCATCAATAATCGGGTTGATTGAAATCGACCTTTTCTTTTTAGGTTCGATTATGATGGTGGAATTTCGTATTGGGGCTTGGTGCATGATTTACAATCTTATTGTTTCAATTGGGGGCTTTGCGCATATGTTTCACGGGGATCCTAGTGCACTGATTCTCAATGGTCCTTTTGCATAACGATCATGGTACATTCGAGCGCCGTTTCGAGTCTTGGAGTGTTCCTGGTTTTGCCTGTAACACTATATAGTAAAAAAAAATTTTTTGATGTGGTCGCCGCCTAGGAAAACATGTTGTTATTGGCCATCTCATAACTTACGTACGTTAATTAATGGAGTAAATTCGTATATGCACGTTTCAAACTGAACTGTTGGTATTTCTATTAGGTCTATAGGGTTGACATTATGTATCTGGGTCACACCTTAAATGGTTCTGAAGGTTACATGTAGATTATTTAATATCATCCAATTATGTAGTTTTAACGGTACATAGGCCACTTAATCGGCATTACAAAGAGCGAAAATTCACTAATAAATATAACTAATAAAATGCTAAATTATCACTCTGCGTGATGGTCTTACCGGAAATGATCGTTCAGAAGTTGAACAACATTGCATTTTAACAGCTGTAATACTATATTTTTTATGTGCGTACATACGTACAGTATCCTCCAAAAGTTTATCACGGTTATGCGAAAAAAACTTAATTTTATGCAAATGTAAAATATACGCAAATTATGAAAATGAACTTAATAAATAATATGCCAAATCGTATTGCCGAAGTTATTTCATATTATTAATTTGAGTAATAATAATATATTGCTAAATTTGCATATTTACGAATTTTATGTTAAGTTTTTTGTATATCGTGATAAACTTTTGGAGGATACTGTATGTACTAGAGATGTTATCCTGCTTAAATCAGCTAGTTTGTGCTTTGAAACCCGTTCGAACACTGTTTGGAAACACATACGTAAACTGGGTTTCAAAATCTGCTTCAAACTATTTATATGCATATACTATTAATTACGCACGCCTGAACATGTTAGTTTAAAACCTCTGTATATTTATTTATTATATAAATATATTATGTATACATTTCGCGTGATATTTATTTGCATATTGCAGGCCTCACGCATTGCAGTGCAGCAGTGATTTATTTTTTTTTTATTTGTTGACCTTCATGCATTCAATCATACACGATTCATTTCACGTTTACAAACAAAGGCTTGCGCCAATATTTTCTTCAGATCTATATGGCTCAACATTCGTTTTATTAATACTTCTTATTAATTAATTCCACTTATCCAGCTGATTACGTTTAAAAGGCGTATTATCGTAGAAAAACCTGTATTCATTGAAGAGGCTTGATTGCAATGTTCGCAATATTACTTGTCGTCACTTTCAATAAGCTCATCCCAGAAGGGATCAGTTTTAAATCGTTTTGAGGACGGTTTGTTGTGTATGCTGAGATAATGTTGAAATCGTTGTGAAGGTAAGTTATTCTAGTGTGCTTTCTTTGTTCATCATATGAGGATAAGAAAAAAAAATGTTACACATTTATAGCAATTGAAAATGTTTCTACAAGGAGGTACTTATTTTTTTTTTTTTTTTAAAAAAAAGCATGACTTTAATTAAAAAATAATATGAAAACTCATTTACTTCATTTACGTCATGGAAATTAATTTTTAATTAAAAAAATTATCATGAAACATTTTGTTTAAGAAATCGATTTCGAACCCGATTTGAGCACTATGAGCAGTACTGAGTTTAAAAGTTCCTAATTGAAATTACGTGATTGCAGAAACACGTGTTTAACGGGTTTGGGTTTCAAACAGGCCCGAACTGAGTTTGGACAAGCAGGATCCCTAGTACGTACGTACGTACGTACACATAAAAATATATTTAGGGGTTATTTGCAGATTCCCGTTTATGAACCGGACTAGATTAAATCATACAGATCGTTTTAACATCTCTTACATTGTGATTATACATTGCTAATTTTAAAATTCCAAATACATCCTAAATAACACAAGCTTTATTAAAGACGTAATACTGTATAATAATTGCAAATAAAAAATCTGGGACAGGTTATTATTAATCTCCGATCTCCGAATTAATCAACGTAAAAAAAAAAATCA